AGTCATGTTGCTGCTGGAAGCTTGACTACGGAAAAAGGACCCAGGCACATCATTGCGACAGGCAGAGGTCTTGCTGAAGCATCGTGCAGCAGCAGATGTGCATTGTGGACTTTGACCAAACTGCTCGGGGTTCAGGGTACTTACTAACCCAATAGTAAGGGTACTTATAACCCAATTATAACCATATTAGGGCCCTTAAGGGGCTTCTATGTGGGGTATAAGTACAGCTAGAATTGGTTAATAAGTACCATGAACCTCCAAGTAAGGCTTTCGCGACTTCATCAACACAGCGACCAAGATGATGGAGGCAACTGGAGACTGGCAAGGCGGCGCCGTTTTGTGGTCTGAATTCGCTGGCTGCACCTCGGTTTAGGGTTTAGGGTTTAGGGTTTAGGGTTTAGACCTGGTTAGGGTCGTTTGTAGGGTGTATCTTGCTAGTCGAACCCTAAGCACTCAACCCTCGGTGTAGGCAAGGTTGGGCAGAGGCTCGTGATACCCGCGCTATCCAGAAACAGGTGCCTGAGGAGCACAATACTATTCAATGAGGCCTAAGGCCTACCTTAAGAACTTCTGTTGGGTTTAAGGGTGGAAGGGAGTCTAAATTCGACCTTGAGATAAAGCCGAAAGACCTAAACCCTAATTAAACTCTAAACCCTGAACCCTGAACCCCAAACGCTTGCGTGTGTTTTGGCAACTCCCTGGGGTGCAGGGGTTGCCTATGGGGAAGCATCTAGAGCACATGGGCCTCTTTTTGAGGGTTGCCCTGGATAGAGGGCGCCAGAGTGTACTACGCTTGATACTATCCATCCTGCATGACCCTACTATGCTAAACTACCATAACTCCGAGGGTTGAGGGTACTCAGGTCATGCAGGAGTTACCCTACACCCTAAACCCTTTCAAGTATCAACAGTAGGATCACTCCAATTTTGGGAACCCTGACTTCGAGACAATTCCTATGTTAGGTGGGGGTTTAGACAGCTGTCATATCAATGGGTGTATATAAGGTTGCCTTTTAACACAAAATAAGGTTGCCGTTTAAAACAAAGGGAAATATTGCGGAGTGTAGATACTGGGCTGCCCTTCGTACTCAAAAGCCTTAAACCCTAAACCCAAAACCGCGCTAAAACCCTGAAGCTGCAAATAGACACTTCGTGGCTTGAAAGGGAGGGATCGCCCCAAGGAGAAGGTGCCCCCTGGGCCCCTGAACCCAAGCCCTAGAACCCTCAACATCCGTGCTTTCTGATGGAGAGGGGTTTAGGGTTTAGGGTTTAGGGTTTAGGGTTTAGGTTTTAGGGTTTAGGGTTTAGGGTTTAGGGTTTAGGGTGTCGGGTTTCGGGTTTCGGGTTTAGGGGGCGTATTTTGTCATGCTGAGCTTGAGCTTTTGATGGCGATCTATGTGGATGACTTCAAGTTGAAGGCCCCACAAGGAACATCCAAAAGGGTTGGGATACCATTTCGAGCGTCATTGAGATGGACCCAACTCGCCTGGTCGCTACCCCGGATGCGTGCATGTTCAGGCGCAGAATCAGATTCTCCCTAAACTCTACCTAAATCCTAAACCCTAAACCCTAAACCCTAAAACCCAAACCCCAAACCCTTTCCATTACGTCTTCGCATCGAGCTCCCCTAAAAGCCCTCGACCACGGTTTAGTTCCCCGAGTCCCCTTTGGCCCTAAACCCCTGAACCCCCCAACCCCCCAACCCCCAAAACCCCTGAACCCCTAAACCCTAAACCCTAAACCCTAAACCCCTGAATCCCTGAACACCGACAAGCCCCGAAAATCCCTTAAGCCCCTGAACCCGCAGCACCCTAAATCCATAAACCCCTAGCCCCCTGAACACCCGAAATCCTAAAATCCCTTAAGCCACTAGCCCTAAACCCTCAACCCTCAACACATAAAATCCCTAAATTCCTGAAAACCTAAACACCTAAAATCCCTAGAAGCCCCTGAACCCCTAAACCCCTAAACCCTAAACCCCTACTCTTAAACCCTAACCCTAAGCCCTAAGCCCTAAGCCCTAAACCCTAAACCCTAAACCCTAAACCCTAAACCCTAAACCCTAAACCCTAAACCCTAAACCCTAAACCCTAAACCCTAAACCCTAAACCCTAAACCTAACCCTAAACCCTAAACCCTAAACCCTAAACCCTAAACCCTAAACCCTAAACCCTAAACCCTAAACCCTAAACCCCAACCCTAAACCCTAAACCCTAAACTCACAGGCGCCAGCAAGATGGCGCAGCTCTTCCAGAAAAAGTCGGGAACTCCCGCTTCGCCACGTGGCTCCAGGTATAGGGTTTAGGGTTTAGGGTTTAATGTCTTAGGGCTTGGGGCTTAGGGCAAGAAGGCTTCCGAAGAGGGTGTACTAGTTGAGGGTTTTGGGCTTTGGGGTATGGGGTTTAGGGTTGAGGGTTTAGGGCTAGGGTTTAGGGCTTTGGGGTTTAGGGGTGTAGGGCTATCTCTCTCTCTGTCTCTATCTCTCTCTCTCTCTCTCCCTCTCTCTCTCTCTCTCTCGCTCGCTCGCTCGCTCGCTCGCTCGCTCTCTCTCTCTGCATGGTGAGTTCTCTAATAACTCTAATATAAGGTCCCAGGTCCCTTTTTGGCTACCCTAAATAAGGGGGGCCGCCTTAATATATATATATATATATATATATATATATATATAGATTCTATTCATTTAGTTGTTCACGCGCTCGACAAGTAAGGGCTTCGCTTTGTCAATGGTTTTCTACGAGATTCTGGGGATTTTTTTTTGGGGGGGGTAAAACCTAAACCCTAAACCCTAAACATGTGGTTCCCGAAAAAATGAAGCGTAAACTGGCTTCAGCTCGCACCCTAAATCTTGGGATGCTCCCCCTTGTCTACCAGTCCTTACTGGAGATTCTAATCCGGGGGGGTACTATAGTCTCAATTAAGGACTGTCAGCATAAGGGGAGAACATCCCAACCTAAACACCGAAAAAACCCTAAAGTTCAGGGCTTCGGGCTTCAAAAACCCGGAGAACTAGTCACAACCCTAAACCCTAAACCCTAAACCCTAAACCCTAAACCCCAAACCCCAAACCCCCTAAACCCTAACCCCCTAAACCCTAAACCCCCTAAACCCTAAGCCCTAAACCCTAAACCCTAAACCCCCCTAAACCCTAACCCCCTAAACCCTCACCCCCTAAACCCTAAACCCTTAACCCCTAAACCCTAAACCCTAAACCCTAAACCCTAGCGACCCAGGCTGCCCGTCACAATTTGTGACTCTGCTGGCCTTACTGTGCCCGGTATCTCAGTGATACGGTCTGGGCTCTTGTTGAACACAAGGATGGGCTATTGGGCCCTGTAATCCCCCCTAACCCTAAACCCGAAACCCGAAACCCGAAACCCTAAACCCTAAACCCTAAACCCTAAACCCATACTTCACCCCATAAAGGGCCTTTTTTCAGGGGTTGTCGGGGATAATCGCCCACGCTGGCTCTTGTTGACTCAGTAGCTGAGTAGGTGACCTTCAACTTTTTTGGTTACAGGGTTTAGGGTTTAGGGTTTAGGGAAAAAATTCTACCATACATAAAAGGTTAACCTCTTTTGGGCTAGGGTAGAACTTAGGGTTTAAGTTTGCAGGGTGTAGAGGTTAGGGTTTCGGGTTTAAACTTACAGGATTTGGAGGTTAGAGTGTCGGACTTATTACAGGCAGGATTCTGCATTACACTTTCATAACTTGTTCTGGGGACTGCAAAAGGGTCCCCGTTGCAATAGGTTCCACACAACTTGTTTTGACCATATCCATCCTCAACCCTAACTTACTCTCGTGGCTCTGGGCACCAACCATGTGGTACCAACCGTAATGCCCAATTCGGTTTAGGGTTTAGGGTTTAGGGTTTAGGGTTTAGGGTCAGTTCTGAGGTCAGGTCAACTTGGGTGGTACCACCATTTGGTACAACCAAATTCGGTACCAGGTCAATTTCCGATTCGGCAGAAGGCAAGCAATTCTGACTACCAACCCTAATACCCCCGAAGAGCCTGAGCATAAGGTAAGAGGAAAGCCGGCTAGAGGAACAATTGTGCAAACTTAAGTATCTCTACATCTTTACCTACAGTTTTGTGGGTTATACCTACAAAATAAGGGTAGGTACTACTAAACTGGAGGTAAGCAGAGTCCCAGGTATATGTTGTGGAGTATCAACGGGCGGGTGGGTAGGATTGCTTCGCTCGACAAGTTGCGACAGGTTGTTTGACTAGCTTAGTAGCTGATTGAGTACACTTTACACATTTTGGGATATGATGACCCCCTATAGAACTGAAAGTGTACCCTGAACCCTAAACCCCAAACCCCGAATCCCAAACCCCAAACTCTACTTTGCAATTTTTTGGAGCTTATGAACTCAGCAACTAAGCTAGTGAGGGCTTCGAGTTGTGATGCTGAACCCCAGCCCAGAACACCTAAACCCTGAGCCATGAACGCTATGTTCTGTTTAGGGTTTAGGGTTTAGGGTTTAGGGTTTTAGGGTTTAGGGTTTAGGGTTTAGGGTTTAGGGTTTAGGGTTTAGGGTTTAGTCTCAATCTCACCTATGTATAGCCTGGACATGAATGAGAGTGTATTGATGGCATAGATGTTGACTGTATTTTATCCGCTACATTTGGCTTACAGAGCGCTCTTGAGCATACCTGTCTATGCAGTGAGAAAAGGTGAAAGCCGCCAGCTTTTCCCAAACTGGTAGCGGAGCGGGTAGGCATAGCCACCTGCGACGCGTGGCTTTAGCCTGTGTTGGTCCGGGCCTGGGCGAGCCCGCAAGTTCGACCCTCTTGCTTTGCACTCCCTTTCTTTCTCTCAAACACTCCTCTGTTTGACCTTGGCCCTGTGCCTTTCCCTCTGTGGCACCCCTTTGGTTGCCGGCCTTCCTTGGCCGTGCTTTCGTCCCATCGGAGCCGCCACTGCTCCCCTGAGCTTTTTCCTCCGGCATGTCCGTTGCAGGTCTCCGCTATGTTAGGGGCAGCGCAAGCTCGAGCCATATGGCCGAGACGAAGTCCGGGTCCTACATCTACAATGGGGATCCCTCGACGTTCTACGACTGGAAGTTCAGGACGGAACTGCGCCTGAAACTCTACGAAGACGCTATTCGGTCGAAAGCGTCCCAAGCCAGGAGTACCCGAGGAGACTCCGAAGCAGGTCTGGAGGGAGAAGTTGACCCAGACCACAACGTCCGAGAGCCAGAGGCCGCGGACACAGCCGATGAGGAGCATGAAGGCCCTCAAGAAGAAGGAGGTCTGCATCCAGGCGGAGCAGACGAGTACTTCGACAAGCTTTCCCAGCTCAGCGCGGGAAGTCGGAGGTCGAAGAAGTCGGGCAAATCCGCGAAGCCCATTTCGTTCGAGTACCTTGAAGGACTCCCCTCGAGCACGAAGGCAAGAACAGAAATGGTACACCGTGTTCTCGAAGGCCTCAGAGACGAAGCCTTCGAACTCGCGAGGGACATCGGTGTAGATGCCCTAACTGCTCCAGGGGGACTTCGAAGCTTCATCGAACGAATGCGGGAGGTAGTGTTCCCCCGCGCGGCAGAGGAAGCCCGAGAGTTGTTCCGGGCGGGACAGAGGCCAGGGACCCTGTCCAGGCAGGCAGGGGAAAGCATGCTGAGTTACATCTCCCGTAGACGGAGGTGGTGGAATCTCCTGAAAACCCTGGATGCCAGCATCGAGCTCTCTGAGCCGATGCGCGTAGAGCTACTATTAGAGCTCTCTGGGCTATCTAGACAAGAAGCCCTGGTCGTCAAGGCTTGCACAGCCGACCCGAAGAAGTTCGAGCAGATAGCAAACACCTTGGTGCAGCACTACACAGGTGTTCATCTGCGCGAAGGCCGCGCGCTGGGAGGCAGCAACCCCCAGCCTTACCGTAACACTGGCAAGGGTTATGGTCCTAGATCTTACGGATCTAATAGGTCTAAGGGTAAAGGTTTTACCCGCAAGGCCTTCCCTGCGATCGACGAAGACGCAGGCGAGTTAGAGCAGGAAGAGGAGTACCCAGAAGAGGACTCTTACTTTGCCCAAGAAGCCTTTGTTGCTGAGGAGAGCTGGGAGGAAGAACCCCCTGCCGAGGAAGAAGAGTTCGAGGAATATGAGCTGGATGAGGACGAGGCCATCGCCCTCAACGCCATGGAGCAGTTCCTCGAGGATTCTCCCGAGGTAGGACACGCCATCCAGTTGTCCTTGGCAGCCAACGCAGCCTTCGGCAAGGCCAAGGGCAAGGGCAAGAACAGATCCAAGGGCAAAGGCAAGGGCAAGGGTAAGGTGGTCCGAAGTCACCTTACGTTGGAGCAAAGAAGGGACAAACTCAAAGCCCTTAAGGCAAAGTCGCGATGCATGAGATGTGGTGGTATCGGCCATTGGGCTGGTGACCCTGAGTGCAAGTTCCCTGCAGGCAAGGCCGCAGGCAAGGCAGCACACGTCGCCGTAACGGTCCTATCCAGCGAGGAAGGTCTGGTCATTCCCTCGGAAGCGCCAGACAAGGACCACTCTGGCTTTGTCGTTCGCGCTGCCGCAAGCAAAAGCGCAGCTAGCCGAAGTGCAGCTGTAGCGTCAGCGGCGCCAATGCCTATTCCGATGGAAATGGAAGGCGGAGATCGTAAGTTTTACCTTGGTCAGTACAAGGGGAAGACTTACAACGAGATTGCCCGGCTTCCAGCTGTTGTTCAATGGGCACAGGTTCAGGTGAACCCTAGTCGCCAACTCCAAGACTTTTTAGCCTGGTTCAATCGCTACTATGTGATCGAGGGCGACGAGGTTGTCACCCGAGCCAGCATAGGTATCCCTGAAGGAACCTATGTACCGCGTGTCAAGAACAAGGGCGGAAAGAAGGTACCGCCGAACCCACCATTGGAGCCTTGCGTCCAAGGATGCAAGGATTTTACGCACGCAGGATCTACCATGAACTGGCTGCGCAGTACCTGTAGAGACTGCGGAAAGGTCACGCGAGAACCCAGAGAGGTCTCATACACCAACGACCCAGAGACATGCCCGCACGAGATCATTGATCGACGTGGCTCGTCGCGATCAGTGTCTCGCACGTTTTGCAAACAATGCGGAACGTTTATAGATGAGGTTCCGGCTGACTTCCAGCGCCGACGTCGAGATGCGGCAAATCGTATGCTCAATGCCACTGTAGACTCTTTATCTGTGATGCATAACACACAGATTGCCGGTGAGTCAAGGGACCTTGAGCACGACGATGTGGAACTCATCATGGGTGTCTTCAATGACTCTGTGACCACCATGATAGAGATGGGGATGCGCGTCACCCCGTCTGTTTTACACAGTCGCCTTAGCGAGGCAATCGTTGATGCCTTAGAGCCCACTGGTGACAGTCCGGATTCCTGGTCCCGCGTTGGCCATGTTGGAATCATAGACCCAACGGACCTTACAAAGGAAGAAAGAGTTCTTTCTAGATGGGAGAGACTGGTTAAAGGTGTTAATTGGCAGGATCATTGTGTAGCCTGGGAGGATGCTTTCCTTATGGGTCATGACCGATTAGGTATAGCCATTCTTGAAGCACAATGGGCTGACCCAGCACCTGCACCGTCCACAGGCATCAACCTGAGCCTGACGTTGGACGACCTTGAGCAGGCTCGTCCTGAGTCACCGCAAGTTCCGGATCCTGTAGGGCCGGAGCAAGGTTGGACCCGTTTAGGCCAATTGCCCGAGATAGACCCCGACGAGGCTATCGATGATTCCCTAGCATTTCCTGATTACGACCCCTACGATCCTTATCTCGAGTGCACCCCGACCCGTAGGGCGGCCTTAACCGAGATTTGGAGTAGCGAGAGTTCGGTTTCCTCAAGGGATAGCAAGCCAGATCCCGAACCCTCCTCAAGTAGTGGTTTAGTTCCTGTCCTGCCCACAGAGGAACAGCAACCACGAGCTCGAGGTGGATACCCGAGCGACGCTGTGACGGCGAGTTTGCAGAGGAGCCACGCGAATCTGGGTGGTAAAGGGTCTAGTGGTCCTAGGCATGCCCACGCAGCCTCCACTGACATCGTTCATCTAGACAATTTACCCATGGTTGACCTCTGGAGCCCCGATGAACCTGATGTGTGGGGAGCTTTGGATGAAGGGTGTAATTCCACGTGCCACAGTAGGACCTGGGCTATCCAGACTGAAGCCCGCCTTAAGGCCTACGGATTCCAATTTCCCTGGCTAGATAGCAACCCTAAGAGTTTTTCGGGTCTAGGTGCCACCTCCAGGACCCTGGGTAAGCGTAAGCTGCCTTTCTGTCTTGAGCTGGGAGATCAAGGTAGGACCCTGGCGGGCGTGCTGGACTCCCATGAGGTAGACACCGATGCCCACAATCCTCTTTTGATAAGCCTGTTTGCTCAGAGCACTTTAGGCCTGGTTAAGGACATGCGCTCCTGTTGCTGCTGGCTTACTGATTCAGACGGGGAGAAGCACGAGCTTCGTCTTGCTCGGTGCAAGGATACAGGTTTACTACTAGTCAACCTGTCATCATTTACCCTTAGAGGAAATGAGTTCCCGAAGTGTGTAAGAGAATGCAAACTTCAACCTTCACAGACTTCACAGACTCCACAGCGTAAGTCGCCCCCTGAGCTTGTTGGTAGTTGTGACGGGTTGGACCCATCGGGCCATCCTGCTTGCACTGGGTTGGACCTTTCGGGCCAATCCAAAGCCATGGCAGTGCCACGGGAGGTCGACTACCACGAGTACTTGGAAAGTGGAATGCTCTGGGACCAAGTTCGGCCCAAAACGTTCACAACTCCACCGCCGATAGTCATCTTGTCCTGCGGGATCAAGTACTACATGAACAAGGAAGACGGCTGGTGGGGGAAAAAGGCGAGGGATCCGATCCATTGGGCGGATCGAGTACCTCAGGTGTTCCGGGATGGTTACACGCTGATCGTCCAGGACCTCAGGGATCTAAGCGACCCTGCAAATGGTGCTTGGAATGACCACATCGGTAGGCACCCAGAAATCATCAAGGGCCTGGTCAACGCCGAGGCAGGACAACGCTTGCTGCGAAAAAACCTGGTGGATCTGTTAGACCACTACAAACGCGGCGAAAAAGTTGCGTTGGTAGCATTTTGCACCAGCAATCGGCACAGGTCAGTTGCCTTTGGCACGACCCTAGCGGCGTGTCTTTTGGCAAAAGGGATCGAGGACCATCTTCTCGTTCACCTGAACGCCATCACTAGTTGGAAAGGCATGGTGTGTGGAGGTGGATGCAGCGACTGCGGTGAGTTCTCCAAGCCTGGTCTGGTGAACCTCGGAAAGCATGCCAACTCCCTCTTGGATGCGCTCGAGGGCTTCGACGAGGCGAATCGTCACCAGAACCGTGGGCGCAGTGCGCCACCAGCAGGCCGAGCAGATGCCGGCCAACGTGGAGGGGCAACCGGTTCGGTGCCTCCTGTTAGGGCAAAGGCCCCCAGTGCCTTGCATCCAGGTGTCTGGGTAAGTGGGTCTTTGCCGGTGCCAATGCAAGGTGGACCTATTTGGCCACCGAGCAACAAGCCAGCACCACCGCCGCCGCCGGCGGCACCAAGGCAACCGCCGTTGCCGCCGCCGTCGAAATCTCCGACAGTTCCATCGCCACCATCACCGCCGGCGATGGCTCTCACGCCAGAGGTTCGGAAGAGAGCTCAAGGGTGTCGGCAAGGTTGGACTACGCGCCAGTGGTTGGTACAGCGACGACGGAGACGACCGCTACGGCGTCTTCCAGCAAGGCATCCACTACCAGCAAGGCTCCCGCAGTATCTGCCACGTCTATCGTTCCGAAGGCACCGCCTGCAGAGATGGAGAATGACGTGGGGTACTGGAGAGAGCGCTGCATCCGGCAGGAAGCAGCAAATGAACACCTCCAAGTCAGACTGGTTGCTCTTGAAACTGAGCTTCGAGAGGCAAAGAGTTCTGGCGAAAGTTGGCTTTCTCGAGCCATCGCTGCCGAGAAGGAGTTGGAGGTGGTCAAGCGATACGAACGGAGACCTAGATCCCGTTCTGAGTCGTATGACTCCAAGGACGAGTCTAGGAGCCGATCCAGAGACGATCGATCAAAAGACGATCGCAGAGGCCGAGAGAGATCGGGATCCATGAGACCTGGTCGAAGTGGCCCCCGCTCTACGTCAGCAGGACCGAGCATCAAGGAGGAGCCCGACGAGGAGGAGCGTGAGGCCAGAGAGTTGGAGACACCTGCGTCAACGCCAGGTCATACCCCTAGGGATGGCGAGGCGTCCGTCGAGCCTGGCGCCGGCGGAGGGTCTACGCAGACGCCGGTGGAGCCACTCCCCGTGGTAGATGGTATGGAAGGACCCTTGGACCACAATAGGCCATGGGCAGCCAACCTTAGCTTCCCCGATCTTACAAAGGTCGCGTCCATCCTTAGGAGGACGAAACCGGCGAGGTACAACAGTAACGGGTGGATCGGTCCGGCCACCAAAGAGCAAGGGATGCAATGCACCCTGAAGCACAACATCCGTTTCTGGGTGGCTCACAAAGACCACTCGTTTGTGCACCGGTGGGACAACGCCTTAGACGACTTCACCAAAAGCGTCTTCCTGTTCCGCGGTGCGGAGCGCACGTTTTCCATAATCCAGAGGGATGTGGACATGCGCGCGGCGCTCACCATCGATGCCGCAGAACTGGGGGACGGCGACAGCTTCATCATTTTGGCCCGAAGTCAGAAGCAGAGGGCGGCCGACCACACCGGCGGCTTACCTCGGGTCTCGACCTATAGAGGCGAGGCCAGGCCATATGGGCAAAGTTTGCGTCGTCCCAGCGCCAGTGCCGAAGGCAGGCGCACGTACAATCCAAACTATCGACCCGGAACGGGCGATAAAGGATACTACTCACGTCAGCACAGTCGTGGCCACAGTAGGGATCCTAGCCGAGACCCTAGAAACAGAGACGTGCGACCGCGCCGAGGGTACATGGACTGTCCGCTGCAGGGTTCCCAACTTCCAGTTGTGGAGAGTTTAGATAGTGAAGAGCCAAGTGCCCACATTGCCCGTAAACCACCTACGCCTCCTCCTGCACCAGACCGTAGAAAGCGAACTAGGTCGGTTTCCTCGGACTCCTCTGCCTCTTCAGGGAGTTCGGGGTCGGGTGTCAGTATTCCCACTGGAGCCAAGTACTTCACCCCAGCATGCAACCTTGCAGTCCTGTCCAAGGCCCGTAGGAGAACCGTGCACCAAGGTCTCCAAGCCCTTAGGGACCATGATAAGGCCTTAAGATATCTTTGCAACACCGTGTCCGAACCCGTGAAGGGACCTGCTCACACACTAGTAATTACCTCGAAGCCTCGTGCCTTTCAGGAGTCCGGCATCCGTGTCATCGACGTCGGATTGGACGCGATGAAGCCGTGGGAGGCCGAAAGGATTCGTAGGACCCTTCAAGAGGTTAGCCCCAGTTTAGTGGTTGTAGCTATTGAGTACCAGGAACCGGGACTCAATCATAGTGAAGTTGTGGACGAGGTCATAGCCCACTGTGAGTGTTCAGGGTGAGACTACCTGATAGCTGACGTTGCCGACACTGAACGTTGGGGGTATTTCTCTGTTCCCATGTACCCAGACATAGGACATGGTGATGTGAGCTATGTGTCCAATAATTCGGAAATAGCAGATGCATTTGAGGGATGGACCGGTGAAGGCTATCCAACCATGGGACCCAGGAGTTTTTGGGATTTGTTTTCTAGTGACTTTTTGGGTTGGTTGATCAATTATGCCAATGACCATGCTGCAATTTCACTTGTGGCAACATCGTACCCAGTATGGGACGATGGCGAGATTGATGATAGCGAGTTTCCAACCTTCGATTCCGTTGAAAACGAAGATGATGTAGCAAGAATGGACCCAGGAGAAGAGGCCATTCAAGAGGACCTTGAACTAGACGAAGTTCAGGTGCCAGGTTTGCCTAAAGGCGAGGCCGAACGCCGAGCCGGCTGGAGGAAGTTACCCCAGCGCGTGAGAGTTGCCATCAGGCGTTTGCATCGACAATTCGGGCATGCGCCGAGAAAGGTACTCTTAAACCTTCTCAGAGCAGCGAAGGTCGACCCGCAGTATCTAGATGGACTGCGTTTGTTGCGCTGCAATGAGTGCGAGGAGAACGCGCCAAGACGTAGCGCGCACAGCACGTCGTTGCCCGAAAAGTACGTTTTCAATCACACTCTCGGTATTGACCTTCTAGAAGTCACAGACGCTACAGGAACCAAGTTTCAGGTCCTAAACATGATCTGTTTAGGGACATGTTTCCAATTAGCCGAAATTGTTCGACAAGGTCCCGGTCAAGCGTCAAGCGCAAAGTGCCTCGAGGCCATACAGAGGAGGTGGATCACTTGGGCTGGTCACCCCAAAGCACTAAAATGTGATCGCGGATTGCACAACCGCGGCGTCCTAGCAAGGTACATGGCCGCGCACGGAGTGGATGTTACACACGCGCCGCTCGAAACACCCGAAGCCATAGGCCGAGTGGAGAGACACGGCGGGATCATCAAAGGAATGGCCCGCAAGGTCATCAGCCAAACTCAACCGCGGGGTTGGTTGGAAATGCAGCAAGTACTTGATGAGACTTGCCTGACAAAGAACAGCCTACTCAGACAGGGAGGCTACTCGCCAGCTCAATGGGTGCTGGGTCGAGCGCCGCGTGAACTACCATCTATCCTTAGTGAGGATGGGCACGCAGATCTAGGAGCCATTCAGGACTCTCTCGATCCCGAGTCCGTTTTCGCGCTCCAACACATGGTTCGTGCTGAGGCGAAGAAAGCATTCGTCCAGCTGGACACCTCTAAACGAGTTCAGCGCGCTCTTTTGCGCAACGCGAGAGCGATTCCTGGAGATTACCAGGTGGGCGACGTAGTAACCTTTAGGCGCACCAAGGCTGGGAAGACATCGTGGTCTCCTGCGTCTAGGGTTATTGGTTTTGAAGGGCGTAGCAAGGAATCGGTTTGGTTGCTTTGCGAAAACATTCCAGTTTTGGCGTCTGCGCAAAACCTGCGACCAGCAACGGACGCAGAGGCTTTGGCCTTTGATATCCTTCATGGGAATGCAATTATCCCTGAGGAAATTGTTAAGGATCAACAAGGGTTCGACGACTATCGTGAACCAGCACCAACCGGGGATCACGATCCAGCGCCAGATGTGACACTTGAAGAGGGCCCCAGTGATGGACCCATGCCATCTATCCTAGAGGAAGACGAGGAGCACCCGCGCTCTAGATCACCACCTGGGGTTAGGAACCGAGGTCCCAATAGTTCGAATGGACCAAGGATCAGAGGATCTAGTGGTTTAGGAACCTCTCAGAGTTCTAGGTCTCGTCGGCTTAGCATCGCCGAGCCTGAGCAAGAGAGGACTCCAGGTGGAAGTCGGAGGCCGTCGTATGATGTACAGGACGATTTGCCTGAGCAGCTGCGGCAGCACTTCCAGCGCGTAAGGGATGCGGAAGCGACGCCACCTAGAATTGTCAGCGACCAAAACACGGCGCTGAGTGCGACTCAAGCCCGACCGCGGGCTAAGTTCATAGCCTTTATGGCGAATCGCGCGGCAAACATTTCAAAGGAAGAAGCCAAGTCCCTTCCAGGCAGCCTCAACTACTATGACTGTTCACCCGCTGTCCAGCGCAAGATCGATGAATCTAGAAAGAAGGAATGGATGAAGTATGAATCATTCCAAGCGGCGATTCCAGTAACCGGTAAGATCCTAAAGGACTTATTGGATGAGGGACATGTTCCATTGCCCTCTAAGTGGGTTGACACTGTCAAAAACATCCACGAACAGCACCTGGAATCATTCGATCCAGAATTCAAGTCCCGCATGGTTGCTTGTGGCAACTTTGAAGGCGAGTGTGGAGTGAGGACCGATTCGCCCACATCGGATATTGAAACCCACGCCATGGTGTGCGCATTCGCAGCGTCAGAAGGAGTACCTGTGCAGGGCTCCGATATCAAAAATGCCTACTTCCAGGCTCTCCCAATAGATCGCATAGTGCTGATGCGACAACCCCGAGGGGGACTCCCGGGCGTAGACCCGGAAGCGATGTTGTTAGTTCGCGTTCCTGTCTATGGACTCCAAGACAGTGGGAGAGGGTTTTGGAAGCGCGTAGACAAAGACGCAAAAGACGTAGGTCTTAATGCGTCGCGCATTTTTCCCGCGTTTTACTACCACACCACGGGTAGTAAAGTAGATCTCTTACTTACCACTCATGTCGACGATTTTCTTTGGGCATCAACCCCCACTGGTGATGAAATCATGAATCGACTCTTAGAAAGGTTCGAAATCGGCAGAAAGGAGATCAAGAGACTCCGATTTTGCGGGAAGCAATTTGACCAATCCGGCAAGGACATAGTTATCGACGTTAGCGATAACACACGCCGTACTACGTATATCGACATAGCGAAGGGCCGACAATCTTCGGACCCGATCACGCAAGGTGAAGAACGTCAACTGCGTAGCGTAGTGGGTAGTCTGAGCTGGATAGCCAGACAAGGCAGGCCGGATATCCTGTACAAAGTTTCGTATTTGCAGTCCAAGGTTAAGGGAGCCACCGTAGCTATCCTTAAGGAGGCTAACAAATGTCTTGAAATTGCTCTTGCAGGAAAAGATTTCTGCATCCGGTACAAAAATGGTCCTTTCGACTTTATGGATCTGGGAGTTTTAACCGCCTCAGATGCCAGTTTTGCCGGGGAGCCAGGTTTACGATCCCAGCAGGGACGTATTCACTTCCTAGTTCCAAGGAAGCAATTGACCACGCCAGGCAATTGCGTATTCGATGTTGCCTTGATCAGCTTTGGATCAACGACAATCAAGAGAGTATGCAGAGCAACTCTCCAAGCCGAGACGTACGCGCTACAGAGTGCGCAAGAGTCAGGTGACCGAATTCGAGCTCTGTTGGCCGAATTGTATGGACAAGGCAGTCCAGGAGCTGATTGGTACGACCGATCCAGAAGGACGGTTCCGCACATGATGCTCACAGACTGTCGTAGTCTGTCTGAGCACCTCAACGTGGAGGTCCCTTCACGTGTCCAAGACAAACGTCTCCAAATAGAACTGAACGCGTTGCGTCAGGCGTTGTTCGAAGACGATGGCACCCGCAGTACCGAGGTCTTTCCCGGTGCAGGTGACCAAGTTGTGTGGACCTCTACGGCCACCATGATCGCTGATTGCTTGACGAAGAGTATGCGCCCCGACTTCCTCATCAAGGTATTGACAGCCTGTCAGTATCAAATCGAGAGGCAGTCGGAGAAGCAACTAGGATGATCTACACGACCCTCAGGGTGTGTGTGTCAGTCATGCGACTCCTAAGCAGCGCATGCACGTTTCGTGCGATCGAGTCAAGACGCACAGCGGTTTTCCGCTCATTCATGCCAGAGAGAAGGTTGAGTCTCAATCTCACCTATGTATAGCCTGGACATGAATGAGAGTGTATTGATGGCATAGATGTTGACTGTATTTTATCCGCTACATTTGGCTTACAGAGCGCTCTTGAGCATACCTGTCTATGCAGTGAGAAAAGGTGAAAGCCGCCAGCTTTTCCCAAATTTAGGGTTAGGGTTTAGGGTTTAGGGTTTAGGGTTTAGGGTTTAGGGTTTAGGGTTTAGGGTTTAGGGTTTAGGGTTTAGGGTTTAGGGTTTAGGGTTTAGGGTTTAGGGTTTAGGGTTTAGGGTTTTCCCTGAGCCCCAACCCCTAAGCCCCCATGAACCCAACAAAGCACTGCTTTGCAAATTGAGGGCTGTGGAGCTCTACCACATCATCCTTCCGGACAGTGGGGGACAGCGCTTTGCCCAGCATCTCCACAGCGAGGGTCGCGGATTTCAGTTTTCGTGTAGCCCTAAACCCTAAACCCTAAACCCTAAACCCTAAACCCTAAACCCTAAACCCTGGGGGGGGGTTCGGGCGGAGGGGAGGGCGGAAGTTTCGGTAGAGCCGGGCGGTTGAGGTTGAGGTGTATTGTGTCATTTTAGGCTTGGGCTTTTAGAGGTTTAGGGTGTTTTGAATTCTAGCTGGTTTCGCCAAACCCTAAACCCTAAACCCCAAACCCCAAACCCTAAACCCTAAACCCTAAACCCTGAACCCTGAACCCTGAACCCTGAACCCTAAACTTTAGGGTTTCGGGTTCAGGGTTTAGGGCCTTAAACCCCAGTTTTCGCCCCCCCCCGCCCCCCCCCCCCCTCCTGTGTCGTAGTCCGCTGCTCCATGGTGCTGCGCGGGGGTTTATAGGCGTTTAGGGTTTCTAGGGTTGAGGGTTCTTAGGGTTTAGGGTTTACGTAGGCCTCTAGGGTGCAGGCTGAGGTTAGAGTGTACACGGCACTGGCCAGGGTCCACTCTGACAAGCTTCGTACCGAGAAGGGCCCGATGCCAGGGGAGCCGGCGTTCAAGAAGTGACCCTCCTGAGTCACGCCAAGCCCACAAGTCCCCTGAACTCTTAGAACTCTGAACCCTGAACCCGAAACCCCTAAACGCTAAACCCTAAACCCTAAACCCTAAACCCTAAACCCTAAACCCTAAACCCTAAACCCTAAACCCTATAAACCCTAAACCCTAAACCCTAAGAACCCTAAGAACCCTCAAGGCCTAAGGCCTTAACTCAAACCAAGCCCCCCAAGCCAGAAGGGCCTTGAGCCGTCAGCCCTAAACCACTCCGGGACCGCCAACAACACCCTAAAGCCCCTATGTTTAGGGTTTATGGTTTAGGGTTTAGGGTTTAGGCTGACACGGCACTTGACAAGCTTCGTACCGAGAAGGGCCCGATGCCAGGGGAGCCGGGGTTGAAGAAGTGACCCTCCTGAGTCACGCCAAGCCCTCAAGTCCCCTAAACTCTTTGCTCTGAACCCTGAACCCGAAACCCCTAAACCCTAAACCCTAAACCCTAAACCCTAAACCCTAAACCCTAAACCCTAAACCCTATACCCTATAAACCCTAAACCCTAAGAACCCTAAGAACCCTCAAGGCCTAAGGCCTTAACTCAAACCAAGCCCCCCAAGCCAGAAGGGCCCTGAGCCCTCAGCTCTAAACCATTCCATCCAGGACCGCCTACAAGACCCTAAGGCCCCTGGCCCGAATCCTTCCCCAAACCCCTCCTCAGACCCCAACCCTAAACCCTAAACCCTAATCCCTAAGAACCCTAAGAATCCTAAGAACCCTAAGAACCCTAAGAACCCTAAGAACCCTAAACCCTAAACCCTAAGCTCTAAACCCTAAACCCTACACATCCTCGAACTCCCGAGGCTCACGCACCTCATCGGCATCACGGAGCTCGACTCAAGCCGATCCCAATACGGATCCCACTCTGGGTCAGAGGCCAGTCGCCCCAGTAGCTCTTACAGGTTTAGGGTTTCGGCTTTAGGGTTTAGAGTCTAGGGTTTAGGGTATAGGGTTTAGGGTTTAGGGTTTCGGGTTTAGGGTTTAGGGTAAACTCCAGAAAGTTGGAACATGGTTTAAGGATGATAAGAGCTGGGATTCCCTGTAGTAATGTGAACGTCGCTTGAATAACCCCCGCCCCCCCCAATCTTGGTTTGTCCCCGGGGTTTGGAGGGGTCAAAAAGAAGAGGGGGTGTCAATAATTGGAATCTGGGGGTCTGGGGTCCCCTCGCTGAAATTTAGTATTGGCACCCCTTTATTATTATCATTTTGGAGGCCCGCAATTAAGGCGTACCCTTTCCGGATTTGTGTTCGAGCCCTAAGGATTTTAGTAAGGAAACCTTGCTCTCAGACCTCTGGTGGCTTCCTGAATTCCAGGATCCGGAAGGCTGAAGTTTTAGGCTTCAGGGATTCTTGTCTTGAGACTTAGACCAGGACCCGAAGGCTGAAGTCTTAAGCTTAAGGGACTCTTGTCTTGAAAGCCACTTAAACTTGAGGCTTCCTTGGTCCCCCCCCCCTCGCCGAAATTATCCGCCGACCCCAGCTTTGAGCGGGGGAGGCGCTAGTGAAGACTCCATGGCGTCGGCGTAACCCCGCACCTTAAGCTGATTTTAAAAGGCCCCAGTCCGTGCCCCGCCCTTCCCGCCCCTAACCCTCCCACCACCACCCTTCCCAACCATTCCACTCCATCCTCCTCCCCTACCCCTTCCCCACTCGATCAGATGACTGACTTTAAAGACTGACTTTAAAGGGCTCCAGTGCATGCCCGCCCCTCTTCCTCCGCCCCCTCCGCTCCCCCACCCCCCTTCCCTCCCACCCCCCCCCCCCCCCCCCACCGGTTGTTTTCATGTGCGGATGGTGCGCTTGCCGTGCTTGTTTCTGGCCCGCAGGGTTCCCCCATGCTTTGTGGCCGGTATCTCTTTGCAAGGTGCTTGGCGCGGCTGGTGCAGCTGCAGCTGGCGACGCGGTGAAGTTTCCTTTCGCCATGTTTCACTTCCTTCCCCTGAGTGGCCACTTAGGGATGCACGCCAATGCCTCGCAGCTGAAAAAATCTGCCAAGAGCCGGGCCCCCACCCCACCCCCCCCACCCCACCACCCCCCCCCCCCCCCCCACCCCCCCCCCCCAACCCTCCCCCACCCCCCCCCCACCCCCACCCACCCCCCCCCCCCCACCACCCGCCCCGCACCCCCCCCCCCCCCCCACCCCCCCCCCCCCCCCCAGATGAACTGACTTTTAAGACTGACTTTGCTCCGCCCCGCTGCCTTCGCCTGCTGCGCTCCCCCACCCCCCTCACCCCACCCCCCCACTCCGCCACCCCCACCCCACCCCCCCCCCCCACCATTCCACTCCATCCTCCCTTACCTCATCTCCTCCACCACCCCCCCACCAACGCCCTCTGCCCCCCACTCCCCACCACCCTTTTTCCCTTCCCACCTTATATATCCCGCTCCCCGCCCCTCCCCTGTCCCCCCTCTCACCACTTGCACCCCCTCCCTCCCCCCCCCCACTCATCTCTCCACCACCAACCTCCCCACCCCCCCCCCCCCCACCCCCACACCCACCCCCCCCCCCCCCACCCCGACTTTGGAAGATTGACTTCCTGCCCCCCCCCCCCCCCCCCCCCCCCCCCCCCCCCCCAGATGACTGACTTTAAAGACTGACTTTAAAGGGTTCTAGTGGACAAGACCCGGAAGTGTATGCACACCACGGTCCAGCATCTACTGGACCCGGTATATAAGTGTTATGTATATGTCTATATGCTTAAGCCACGGTCCGGAGCTTTCACCGAACCCGGAAGTGTATGCACACCACGGTCCAGCATGCACCGGACCCGGTATATTAGTGTTCTGTATAATTATGTATAAACCACGGTCCGGAGCTTTCATCGAACCCGGAAGTGTAGGCACACCACGGTCCAGCATATACCGGACCCGGTATATATAAGTGCATATACCCCCCCCCCCCCTGCCCCGGTCGCGGATGGCCTCTCAGCACACTACCGACTAAGCCCTCCTAATGCCCTTGAAACCCTGAACGCTCAACCCTAAGCCCTAAACCCTAAGCCCTAAACCCTAGGCCCTAAACCCCCTAAACCGTAGACCGCTCACTCTCCTCCTGCCTCTGCGAATTCGTCGAAAGATGGCCTGCCATCCTTGTTCTTGTCCGGTTTGCGCGGAGCATCAGGTTGAGGGGTCGGCGGCACTGGCGGTAGCCATTAAATAATTGCCACCGCTTTATTATTGTCATTTTGTACCCTTTCCGGACTTGTTTTCGAGCCCCGGCGGATAAGGATTTTAGTAAGGAATCTTGCTTTCAGACCTCTGGTGGTTTCCTGATTTCCAGGACCCGAAGGCTGAAGTCTTAAGCTTAAGGGATTCTTATTTGAAGCCTTAGAGGAACACCTGCTTCTCTGAAGAAACAGGCCTGAAGCAGCAGTTTCTCGCAGCTCTGGAGCTGCAGCAATCTCAAAAGACAAGCAATTTCAAACGAGATCTGCTTCTCTAAAGACTGAGCCTCGGAGCTCTTTCAAGCCATCTCAGCTGAAAAGTCTTCTCAGCAATTGAACTCTTAAGCCATCTTCAGCAAAATTTTCGATTCCTGGCCGGCCAAATTTTACTGTTGTCACTCCATTATTACTCTCACCGGACCCCCTATATAGACTTGTTTACACGAAAACCTCCCGTAATGGAAAGTAGTCTTGGGCTGGGGCCCTCTGGCCCGTCGAATAATTCGTATTACCACCCAATTTATAAATGTGAGGTTTACATTATACCTTTTGGGGTAAGGGGATAAGAATGTTCCAACTTTTTGAAGTTTACTGTTTAGAGCTGGGCTTTTTGTCCGGTGGGCTGGGTTTAGGGCTTGTGGGTTTGCTTGAATGTTCCTGGGAAGTTCTAC